AATGGAGAAAAAAATGGAGTGGCCCCCCCGAACTGGAGTTTCACCCATCATTCTAGTGGGTTGCCTTCTAGCGTAAACCCCGCCTTCAATTCCATTTAAAACATCAGCGAGCTTGAGAGGTGTTCATTTTCAGAGAAGAGGAAGAGCAACGGGGTTGATAATTATTTCTAAGCTTCTTGCATGCGCAAGGTTGGAACTGAACTGCTGAATTGAACAAATTTTCTGAGCACAAGGCTCTCGAGTGACTTGGAAATCCAGCCTCCTTGTCGCTCATATTTCATAGTGTTTTATTATGTTTTGCTATATGTTTGTTTGACAGGGTTTCCGATTTCCGACCTCCAGTACTTCACATTTATTCATTTTGTGTGGATCTTTGTTAAGGCTACGGGGAACGCGAACTAGTTCTTGTGATTGTTTTTCGTCATCCTTATAAGTTATGGTGAACCACTGAAAATCTAGTAGAAGGTGGCGGGATCACGGTGGTGGAATAGACTAGCGCTCTACTTAAAAAAACGCGAGCTGTATGCTCTTACAAACCCGGTGTTACTGAAAGATCTTATACAAGGTCGAAATTCTATGTAGTAGCGGCTGTAGTACGAAGTTAAGTTGTTCGGCTTGCTACTGGTGCTACTGTTCGCTCACAGTTGGTCTCGAAGATCGGACTGAGTTACCGTAAGGTGTGGCCCATCTTACGAGTGCGTAATGCACTCTGAGCTTCTGTAACGTTGTGGAGACGTTTTGAGGTTTTTCTTGATTGATTCGATTTCCTAGAGCTCTGAAGAAAGCGATCTCGCTAAAAAGTCGATCAATAAAATTTTCTCAGCGATTGGAAAATCAACAGTCCCAACAAGAAATCAGCATCTCTGGTGTTGCAGCGACTGTTTCTCTATCCTTTTCGCCTTCCACTCAAGTTGCACACTTTCTTACGACTTTCTAAAACCGCGCGGAAGGACAACATTGTACTTGAAACAGTATCACTAGATGAAAAAAATCTGCTTCCACCCGGAAAGTGACCTATATGTACTAGTAAAAAATTGCTGTTTAGGTTGTATATGTTGTTGTTGTTTGATGTGTATAAAAATGACGTAGATCGTGCGCGTGAAAAGCTGTATAGAATCGAAATGACTGAGTGAACCACAGATGTCGATTGTGGAACCAGAACCACATGCGCTCGTATGGACCCGTCATCACTCACAACGCAGCTCCACTCGGACGCGCCAGTATGAGGTATATACTGATCCCTACTACAAATTTTACCGCAAGCTATGAAGCTGCAGACTTGGCCAGCTTACTGGGCCACTCATCCATCTGACTAAGTACGATCATCTAAAGGCTTCTTTAATACAATAAAAAAGAATTATGTTGCATTCCCCTCAAGGAAATGATTACTAGTGGTTCCCCGTACTTTGATCCGTACGGGAGCTTTAAAACAGCTTCATCCACTGACGCTACCTCTTACGGGAAAAAACAGCACATCAGATGACGCTAAACTCTTTTGCCAGAAGCTGCTTTTCGGATCTGACAGAAAGGTTTACAGAAGTAAGTCGTAGTAGTACAAAAGAAACTGTAGCTGCGCACTTTATTTTTATTACCAGATTAGTCCCCCGTCAACCGCCGGGACCTTCCTTTCCTGCGCAAGCTTTCTATCCTCCGCTATGGTCCCTTCCTCCTGTGACACCAACACCTGGAAGTGACGCGTATGCAACACAATGGTGTTTCATACAGTAGAAGGGACACAATCATGATATGACGGTAGATTTTTCGCTTCCCTTCCTCATCCTCTTCCTCTCTCCACTGCCCTCCAGCTGCCACTGCAGCACCATGTGGAATGAACGGAAGTGTGCTAAGCAGGTGTTTATATAGCCCTAAGAGTGTTATCACAACTATCCTGCTACAAAACATTGATATCTCAAATCCTGTAAGCTACCCGATTTGTTAGCGGTTTGTTTATCCCATGAGCTTCCTTCTCACTCACTTCATTTTGCGGACGGACACACATACATACATACATACATACACACATACAGACATACAAACCGACACACAAAGTTAGCGCTTTATAAAATAGAAGGATAATTTTATCTTTTTTGTTTACAACTCCTGACCGGTCATATATCTATCATGAGTGTCCACCACTTGTCTTCAACGCTCAGAAAATTTCCTGATGCTCCTTTTCCAAAACCCAGCGGAGTGCGGGTCAAGAAAGGAGGCGACCTCACTTCCGAGTTGGAGTTGATCGTCTTAATTTCAAAACAGGATATGATTAAAGGTCCAGGGTAGGTGGACAGTCATTTACAGCTCGACCAGGGGAATTACGCTAAGAGAGGTAAGAAATCTTGCCGCAACTCCAGAATTTCTTACCGGGCTCATTTCGGATCATGGTGATTCGCAATGTCATGAAAGAAATGAATATTGTCGCGGTACGAGGGCTCTTGACGAGCTACCTCGGCCAGCTTCCGAAGTTTTGCACCATAGTAACTTCTCTATCCTACACAATGGTGCCCATAACGAAGAATTTGTAAATGAGCTTCCCGTGGGAGCCCTTCTTATAATGGAGTGTGTAGGATGCTGCTGACTCTTATATGAAAATATCAAAAGATCGAAAGCGCTGATAAAGCTGAAGCACGCCATAGCGATGAATAGCATGCCTATTGAAGCTCTACAGATAGTGTCGGTCCTTGAAGAATCCATAGTTGTTTTTTTTTTTTTTATTTTTTTGTCTTTCTTTTGGTCTTGGAGACAGTTGTACTAGACGAGTTGACTCGGAGTATGATTTATCAGTAGTTGGGCCGTCTTTTTTTTGGATTTTTTTATAGAATAACTTCGTATAGCATACATTATACGAAGTTATACGATCAAAGGCCTCGAGAATGCTCTCTACCATTATTTAGTCATAAATGTCTCCAATGAATTTTTCAGAAAAAAAAGTTTCAGAAAGTGCTGCAGAACTTTCCTTCTAACCTAGTAGAGACATCTTCTCGTACATTGAAATAAAATGTATCATTGCTGTATTATTGCGAGTGATTCTAAATTGTGAAGAGGTAAATCACCAAATTTTCAGTACATGGCCGGTGAAGCGGACACCCTCTGTCTGATGCCGTCATCCATGCGACTGTTGTGCGCTCTACTGTGTGCTCTGCTCATCTGCTCATTAGCCGCTGCAATCTTCAACACTCTTCAAGGCAGCGCTAAGGGATCGACGAGTTTCTGCAAGCGACCCGATGAGCCATTTCGACCAAACGTTTTGTAATTGTTGCTTATTTTTGGAAACTGTCACCTTATTGGCGTTAAGCCGTTGACTCCTTTTTTTGAAGGATTCAAAGAACCGCTCTCGTTGCTGTCGCAATTGAGATGACTTCTTTGTTAACGATTGCTCATTTAGCATAAAACTGCTCAGTTCTCCTTAGATGGTTTCAGAAGCTTGCCAACTTCTAAACCATTTTTACTTTAGCTGAAAATCCTGAGAAATTCAGTCTAGTACATGTATTGGATAGCAAATGTGAAAAATCTAACTTATAGCGACAACACCATGCGAAGGTTGCGATTATTCACGTTTGCCTTCGAAATTCTTTTAGAAAGCTTTCAAACGACTTGAAATTACTTTACACCGTGCTGTTTTAGGCTCTTTTTCAGATGCCCACGTGAGTCAATGTTCTTTTACTACAGCTGCTGTTTGCATTCAAATGGCAAGGATCTCAGATGTTGCGCTCAAATTCGAGTTTGGCTATTGTAGGTTTTTTTATGAACTGGATCATTTTCGAGCTTTCTTAGCGATGCTCGATTTTTGAAGCAGAACGCATACGCTTCCTTATGGTTCCTCTAAGGACGAACCCCTGTGTTCTCATCGACTGTCTCGCCGAGTCGCATTTAGAAACCACAACGGTTCTAAATGAAACCAGAGTTCACGGCGCATTCCGAAAAACGAATTGGCTGATGCATAGAGCCTTATTTTTATCGTTTGAAGTTCTGCCTGCATGAGGATGGAGTATCGCTGGATCTAGCCAGTGGATGCTTCATCGCTTTCTTCGCTCGCAATATATCACTTTTTTTATAGTGCTCCTATTGAACAAGGCACCAGGCAGAACACATCGCAGCGGACCTTCAGAATACTTTCTTGATTTTTCTTCTTGTATGTGCATTCATATTGTGAAACATCATTTCAGAATCGCAATTGTTTGCGTGACCCTATCCTGTGTCATTGGATTATCGTACACCATTTTCTGGTACTGCTGCGATTGCGAGAAGACTAACAGTGTCTTGGCAACTCCACTATGAAATCGAGAACGGGTTCTGGAGAAATCATTGCAGCTCTGGCGACATTCGTTTTACCTCGTGATCATCTGAAGAATTGCTTAGTTTTGCATCCAATATTTTTAATCTACTGATCTAGCTCATTCTCTATTTAACTCCCTGCTTGAGGTGAGCTGATGACACAAAGACGTACGTAGGGTTTGGCACTCAAAACGGGGAGTGCACACTGACAAGATTTCTCCTGGAATAGCGATCTCAACATTATTTACTTTTACTGCCCACCTTCCCTAGATCGGAGTGGATTCTTCTCGAAAGTTGTATTTGTTAAATTGGAAGAAATCACCACGAAGACAAAAGACCTTAACATAAGATGAATCGCTGAGAGGCACATGGTCGCTCGTAAAACAAGAAGAAGCGCCAACACGTGTGTCAAAAATGCTGAACTGCAGGGGTAATTTGCTCACGTAAAATTACTTATTCACATTCGTTTCATTAAGAACAATTTACGATGGAAAAGCAACCCATTCTAAATTGAGGTAGAGATGGTGAGTAGTACCAGAAAGAAAGCGAAACCACGAAAAACGGCCCAGAACCGGAGAAATGGGACCCCTTCCTTGTCCGTTGATTTGAGCATTGATGGGACTCTCATCGCTTTGCCCTCTTCAACCCTACGCTCTCTCAGCTATCTAATCACTCGCCACCTATTGTACTACGGCGAGTGATCAGACGATCGGTGGGCGGAGATCGCCGAACTCGCCAACTTTGAGCCATGCTAGATCTCAGAGGTCAAATCTTTCGATGCCGATTGCGTGTCTGTCCGCACCCTCAAGAGATTCACCGCTCTCCCCACTAGGCGATTTCTCCCTTCTTCGACCTTCGTTCTTTCCGTGCAATCCTCCTTTAACTGGCGAATGCAGCACAGATGCCGAGCAGCTCCCATCGAATGAATTTGGTTTTTGCTACGACTCTTTGAGGAAAGTTATACCTAGGTTCAACAGTGAAGAGAGATTGCGGGGGAGTTTTACCCTTTCCTCCACCCCTACATC